ACCACACCTGGCTAATTTTTGTATTTATAGTAGAGACGGGGTTTCACTATGTTGGCCAGGCTGGTCTTGAACTCCTGACCTCGTGATTTGCCTGCCTCAGCCTCCCAAAGTGCTGGGATTACAGGTGTGAGCCACTACCCCCAGCCTAAATAAATGTTTTTAAAAATTCATCATCTATTTAAAAATTAAAAATAGAACTACCACATGACCCAGCAATTCCACTCCTGGGTACAGCTGCAAAGACATGAAATCCGCGTATCAAAGAGATATCTGCACTCTCATGTTCACTGCAGCACTACTCACAATGGCCAAGAGATGGAATCAACCTAAGTGTCCATCAGGAGATGAGTGGATAAAGAAACTGTGATCTAAATGCACAATGGAATACGATTCTGCCTTATAAAAGAAGGAAATCTTTTACATTATTTACAACATAGATGAACCTAGCGGGCATTATGTTAAGTGAAATAAGCCAGGCACAGAAAGACAAATGCCGCATGACCTCACTTACATGCAGAATCTAAAAAAGTCAACATCTCAGCAGGTGGGGGAGTGAGGTTAGCAGGGAGTGGGGACAAGGAGGAATGAGAAGATAATGGTCAAAAGGTACGAAGAAGGGCAGGGTGTGGTGGCTTATGCCTATAATCCCACCACTTTGGGAGGCTGAGGCAGGTGGATTGGTTAAGCCCAGGAGTTCAAGGCCAGCTGGATTCCATCTCTTGGTGAAACAGTGTCTTTACAAAAAATACAAAAATTACCATGGTGGTACATGCCAGTAGTCCCAGGTACTCTAGGGACCGAGGTAGGAGGATGGAATGATCCTGGGGAAGTCATGGTTGCAGTGAGCTGTCATCCCACCATGGCAATCCAGCCAGAACTGGACCCTGTCTCAAAAAAAAGTGCAAACTTTCAGTTAGACAGAAGGAATAAGTACTGGAGATCGATTGTACAGCATGGTGACTATGGTTAATAATAATGTGCAGTCATCCCTCGGCATCCATGACGGATTGGTTCCAGGAACCTCCCTGTATACCAAAATCTTAGAATGTTCAAGCCCCTTATTAAAAATGGCTTAGTTTTTGCATGTAACCTAAACCTATCTTCCCACATACTTTAGATCATCTCTAGATTGCTTCTAATACCCAATGCAATGCAAATGCTACGTAAATAGTTGTTATACTGTATTGCTTTTGAATCGGAATTATTTTTATTGTTATATTATTTTTCATTTTTTTCAAAATATTTTCAATTCACAGTTGAATGAATCAGAGGATGTGGAACCCACAGATACAGAGGGCCAACTGTATTGGACATTTGAAAATTGCTAGGAGAGATTTTAAATATTCATACCACAAAAAAGTGAAGTGATAGATATGTTAATTAGCTGAGTTTAATCACATGTATCAAAAAGTCGCGTAGTACAAATAACTGTATTTGTCAATTAAAAATAATTGATGAATTTAAAATTATTTTAAAATGTAACATTCTTAACTTTTTCTTGTTCAAATAAAATTTTCTGCTTTTTAATTTTTTTACATTTGTTTAGAAAAATCATTATTTTTAACATGGATGAACTTCCATTAACTCAATTGATTCACCCTATTAACTTAAGAACTCTCTTCCCTAAGTTAAACATTTCATGATAATCAGCAAGGGCAAGGTTATGTTGCAATAAGATCTTAACCCACAGTAAAAAGTAGATTTCAGTGGCTTAACTCAATAAGGAGACTTCATTCCACAGCTATTCAAGTGACTCAGTTTACGGAGTTTCCAGTATCTCATACACCATCATGCACCTACTTGCAAGTTCCATTGGCTACTGTTAGTCAACTGACTCTAACCTAACCGCAGAAAACACTGGGAAATGTACAGGAGCTTTGGAATACTAGTGAGCACCACTGTCTCCAAAAGATGTACTGTTATTATCTAAGGTAAGAACAAATGCCCAAGTGTGGTAGGTTGTTCTCTAGAACACTTACACACCTTCCTCCAAGTTATATGCTTACTAACACTCAGTTCTTTTTTTTTTTCTTTTTTTTTTTATTGCATTTTAGGTTTTGGGGTACATGTGAAGAACATGCAAGATTGTTGCATAGGTATACACGTGGCAGTGTGATTTGCTGCCTTCCTTCCCCTCACCTATATCTGATATTTCTCCCCATGCCATCCCCCACAACTCCCCACCCCTGCTGTCCCTCCCCTATTTCTTTATGTTAGCAAATTTATTTATACAGGATGTACTTGTCATTTTAACTGAATACTATCCAATGAAATCTAGGTGCAAAAACATAGTTGTTTCTATGAAACTGTCAATGGAAGAAAGAGAAGAAAATTTTGACCCTCTCATTAATAAAAAATATTCCAGCATTTGCTTACTGTGACAATGTTGAACTGTAAGAATGTCCTAGAATATAATCTACCACCCATCCTGATTATAGAGCTTATGCTTCAACTAGAAAAATCAGATCTCAATATCTTTCTAAGCCTTGAGTCTGGTTAAATCCCCAACCCTCTTGCCTCTTCCCTTTGCAGGATCAAAGGCAAGGAGCTACACGCAGAAACTGAGGACACCCTGGACAACCCATCACATGCCTTCCCCATTACCTCAAAAGCATTAGTCCCTTTTGATCCCTATGGTGAATGACAATGTCCAACCTGAGAAAGAGGACAAAATTGTACAAAACTTTTGTCTCCATTCAGCATTTTGCTTGGGGAAAATTCAGACTCTAGCCCTGGGGAGCAGAAACTCAAATGTTGGTGTCTCTTTGTGCACCAGTGTCTGTCTGAGGACCTGCGTGACAGGCTGGAGTACAGGAGATGAAGGTCCCAAGGAGACCTAGTTCTCCATTCTGACCTCATCCATAAGAAGGAAGAGCCTGCCAAAGACTCCTCAGGCCCAGTGTGAATGAGGGAGAAAGGAAGATGGGATGTCTGCTTTCAGGGTCATGGCCCTCCACAACCTCACAGAAGCTCTTAAACTGTCTTCATGATGAAACTCAGACACTGACATCTAGAGCAGCTTCAGGGCTGGGCCCACATCAAAGGGGCCACAGTGTGCAGTGACCTCCCTCAAAACCAGGAAGAGAGTGTCATCAGGAATCAACAGGTTACTATGTCAATGACAAAGGGAGCTCAGACAAGGAATGGGATGGCTGTGAACAGGTACCACAGTGAGGGACCCTAGAACCAGAGGGAGTTCTGCCAACTGTCCTATGGGCTCCACAAGAAGAAAATCACCCCTTACACCTCTCCACTGTGGGGAGGCTCTGCAGGCTGAGGTGCTCCACATGGCTGGTATAGACATCTGCACACTGGAAGTTTCATTTCCAGCACCACAAGGAGCTGGAAAATCCAGTCCTCCTTCCTAATAAGAGGGATGGTCACAATGCTGGCTGTCAGCACCCCGTGCACAGAATGGTGTGTTTGAGAGGTGTGCATGTTACCCAGGCTTGGCCAATCAGAATCTTTCCTAAAGTTGTTAAAACTCTGGCAGGCATTCTAGAAACATAAATAACAGAGACAGAAAGACACACAGACACAGAGAAAAAGCGAGAGAGATGAGATAAGATGTGAAGTGATAAGGAAGAGAAATGCAGAAAAACAAATGCAAAAAGACACACGGAGATAGAAAAAACTGCAGATAAATAGTGACAATGGATTAGAAAAATAGGCAACAATGTAGTGAAAAGCACAACAAGGGAACAGAGACAAAGATGCAGAGAGACACAGAAGAACTATACAGGGACAAAGAGACACAGAGAAAGAGATAGATGCCCAGATAGGGACATAAGAGAAAGAGGTGACGACCTCATTGAATATCTGGAACTAGTCACTTCTGAAATCAACTTGACACTAGGCTTCCTTTGTACCATGAACAAAATATATTTGGGTTTCTATCATTTAGAATCAAAAATAGCACTTTTATTGCTGGTTATGCCTTCTTAAAAATAAAAATTATTCTTGATTGATGTGACTTGCCAGAATGTTTGAAACACAGTGACCAAGGGTCACTGTATCTGTCCCCAAACAATTCCACCATGCTTACTTACACAGCACTCACCAAACCAGAAGACAGGTGAGATATTTTAAGGAGACTGCACTGAGCATCGATATGAAAGAACCATGAATGACGTGACAACTGAATTGACTTTCTACCTCCTCTGCCCACCCTTACTCGCACCCCAAAATGCTTTCAGTGCCTTTTCAAGGTACAACCCTCCTTCTGGCCACAGGTTGGCTGGGTCACCTCAAGGTATGTTTCTTCATTCGGCAGTGATTTCCTGCCTTTGCTCAATTAAGGAAGTTCAGAATACAGATAACTCAGGATCACGTTTAATTATGTAAAAAAGCTCTAAAGTCAGGTAATGGTTTTCTGTTGGTTCTCTTGAACAGTCTGAGGAGAGAATAGAAACAGAAACCCCTTGGGGCCTGAGTAGCTGCAGCTGGCCCTGCACACGCAGAGGCTCTGGGTCAGTGCAGGAAGGTCACAGCCAGCGCCTTGGGGTGGGGATGAAAGATGACCTGGTGGCTGCGTGAGAGCCACTGTAGGACTCTCATCTCATGAGGACAGGCTGACACAGGAAGCTGGGAATTCTGGGCAGGACAAGCAGGCATTACAGAAGAGTGATAGCCCATCCCTGGTAAAATCGTCTCAGGAGTCAGTGCAGGAGCCCTGGAAAAGAGAGACAAGGCATAATCAGCACAGGGTACCCTGGTGGGCCTGCCATCTCCCCCACCTCTCAGGGGTCCCCTGCAGCTTCAGACAGAGAAAGCTGAGGTCCACGGTGTAGCATCATCACCTCCCCCAAGATCTGAGCAAAGGTGAAATCAGCTCATGAGGACACGGAACTTCAGCTTGATGCAGATGTGTGGGAGGTGGGGGAACAGCTGTTACTCTTCTGGGGAATATGAAGGGTTCAATCTTAGGAAATTGGATAATACTTCATTCCTACCACTAGTGGCTTCTTTCAGTCACTGGAAAATACCTACAGGGAGTAGCCACCAAAATGTGGCACAAAGTGGGCATCATCGTGGTGTCTAACATTTAAGCTGTGGTTCTGTCCCCACATTTCACAAGAGGATGCCACCAAAGCTAAGGGTTGGTTCTGGGGAACAATCTCTGGAGATTCCTAGAAACTGGCAAACTTCTCCCCTAAGTTTTGATCCTCATAGCAGCAAATAGGCCATGAACAGAGACCACTGTGGTCAGGTGCACTCAGCTCATGCTCTTCCCTCTTATACCTGTGCCCTCCCCACACTGGATCACAGCTGAAATATTACCTGCTGGAGGAGGCCCTTGAGGTCCTACAAAAGGAAGTTATGCAGAGAAAGTTCTCATTACACAAACAGCCACTTTCTCACCAGAAATGAAAATGACACATGTGACTTAGAGTTATATTCTCTTCCCACCCATGTTCTTTGAGGCCTTAAGCACCTAATTTAAAATCCCCTAAAACAAAGGAAATTGTCACTAGAAGGCAAGAAGGCCGAGGCTCTGACCCTCTTAATGGAGGAAGCTTTTATAAGGAGCCAGTGAGACAGCGATGAACAGTAAGGCCATCCTGGAATAAGCTTAATCAGTCAGCTCTGGCAGCACTACCACCCAGTAAAATCAGATTCCAATGCCTCCTCCAATCTTGTCCTGTCTCCTCCCACCTCCAGCCCAGCCTTCTTCTTCTCAGGGTCAGGAGGAAAGTGCTACATCTAGAGACAGGTCCTCTCTGAACAGAGGGTCTGGGTCACAGCCCATCTTCCCCTTTTCCCCTGGGGTTCCTCACCTTTCTGACTCCTGTGATGGATGATAAAGCCCAGCCCGAGGAAGATCAGCCCCAGCACAAAGCCTCCAACACCACTCAGCATCTTGCTCTGGGCAGATTCAGACTGAGCCCCTAAGAAGCAGAGACTGACTGTCAGTATTTGTCCCATACCCCTTAGCTGAAGTCCAGTCTGAGGTACAGGATATGAAGGCATCAAAGGAACATAGTTCTCCATTCAGACCACCCCTAAGGGAGGGAAAGACTGGTCCTTGGATATAGTGAGTAGGTGAGAGAGCAGGGAAGCAGAGCTTCGCTCCTCAGGAACTCATCTACAACCTTAGACCCTAAGATCGCAGTCAGCAGTCCTAATAATCAGTCCCTTGGAGCTACCAGGACTGGGATCCAGAGCAACAGTATGTACAGTAATGTCCCTAGCATCTGGAAAGGTGGTGAGATCAGGATTCTTCTGATGCACTTGCCATCAGAAGAGGGGCTCTAGTCTCCTGTGATTCCCAGCTCAGTAGTGACATCAGGGATAAGAGATGAGAAGGGAGGGGTCAGGAGGAGCTCTGCCCTTTGTCTTGTGGGTCCCATAGCAACAGAAACTCGATATCCCCTTACGCCACTCCACAGTGATGGGGCTCTGGAGGCTGGGGTGCTCCACGTGGCAGATGTAGACATCTCCATGCTGGGGAGTCATTTCCAACATCACCAGGATCTGGAAGGTCCAGTCACCATTCCTAATAAGGGGAGTGGACACAATACCGGCTGTCTCCTCCTGGTCATTCCGAAACCACCGGACTTTGATCTGGCCTGGATAGAAATCTGTCACCGAGCAGACCAGCAGGTTGTGGTGATTGAGGGCCTCTGTCCTGGATGGGGAGATGGTCACTGTAGGCTCCACTGAGGGCAGTAACAGACAGGGAAAGACACAGGAGTGAGATGTGAGACCACAAAGCATGTCTACCATGAGCAGGGGTCCCTCCTTGGAACCAGAATGGAAAGATATCTGGAGTCCAAGTCTTGGATTAAGGCTCATTCAACAAATATAAATTTGACAATCACTGAGACTCCAAAGATAAACAACATACCATGGTCCCTGCCTTTATAGAATGTGCAACATAGTAACAGATACCCCCCCCAAAAAAAAGAATGTTATTTCAAAAGTTCATAATATTTGGAAAAAAAAAAAGTAGGCAGGCCTTGAATAACAAACAACACTGATCAAACATCATGTTTGCCCATAGCTCAATTTCTTTATCTTCTCAGATTGCTGCTCATAGGAAAAAAAAAACCACACACACATTTCCCTGCCTCTTTTACACATCTCATCCTTTACCTTTCAGACCACTTCACTGCATTTCCTTTATTCTCTTAATGTGAAACTATAGTAAACATTTAATGTATGCTTTCTTTATTTAGTAATATGTTCTCTCATTTTCTTTTTTTCCTCATTTTCTTTTTAACACACAAGTGAGTTTAATTACCAGCTGTCTACCCTACTCATTCCCTTGCTATTAAGAATTACTTTCTTATTTTGAAATCAGACATTATCATGTATGTTCTCCATAGAAAATATTCTGAGATCCGTGCAGAGATCGGCCTGGGTTAATAAGCCTGTAATGTGAACATATAAATATAACTGGGATTTGCTGAGGTCACCAAGTGGCACCCCAATTAATGGCACTCATGAGCCATCATCCAGAAGGAATGCGGTTTCTGCTTGGACTTGAACATTTCTTTAGGTTCTCCTTCTTGGAGTCTGACTGAAATCACAGTCAGCTATGTGGCCTTATAAGATTTGTTCTTCTTAAACAGATTGGAAATAAAATTAGAGGGCACTAATTTATGAGAAAAGATGATAAAATCAATTATATGGAAATAGAACTGAAACAGCAAAAATATAAGAACTTGCTGGCATTGGGATGTGAGTCAAGAGAAGGCAAGGGAGTACAAAGTAAACTAAAAGTTTTGTGAACCTGCATAGATAACACTGGGGTCAGACCAGGGATTGATTAATCAGTAAATTTTCAATGCCTTCCAAGTATCATTTTGTCCCATTGACCTGGAGAATAAACATGAATAGACTCATTGCTGCTTCTGGTCAAAACTGGATTTAACAAGGCTTCACGTCCCTTAGACTCTGTAGATGTGTAGTAAAGAACATAAAGAATGTTGTGTACTTTGGGAGGCTTAAGGTCTTGCTGAGTCATTGTTGCTGGTTATTTACAGTGTTTATTATGTACCAATATTAGGATACATAAAGTGGTGATGCTAATCTCTAACGCACAGTTCACTGTGAGATTAAGCGGCATAACATAGACAGTATTTGATAAGACAACTATCTAGAAGTAAGTGCTGACTAAATGAGTAAAATTGACTTCCAGAATGCTTATTCCTGAAGTGGAGAGTGATGGGGGGAGGGGAGATCCTAGGCCAAAAGCAACCTGAAACTATTTTTATCCAATAATTTAATGCCATCAATTTGTTTATTCCAAAACTTCTGCTCTTTGCATTGTGCCATTTGTTCAGCTTTTCTAGGAAATTAAAACTCTGCCTTACAACATCCTGCAAATGTTGTTTTTATTTTTAGCAAACAGTTTTTTCCTCAGACTTTGTTTTCACGAACTGTTAAGATCCAAATCAATGAGTTTACTTTAAAACATTAAGCAAAATGATAGAAAATAATTAATAAAGTCCAGTTTTAAGGCTCTGTTTACCTGTTTTTTCTTGAACCTAAGTGGATGGGCAGCTGAATACATTTATTCATTCATTTAATAGAAGATCATTGCACTCATACCACAAACCAGTCAATGTGTCAGGTACCAGGCATGCAATAATTAAAACAGTCTCTCGCCTCAAAGAGCTCCATCATTAGAGCCATTTAAGAAAACAGAATTACGATGAATAATGATTTGAAGCCAAAAGTCAAAATATCTTATTTCACAACTGTAACTGCTGGGGAGGCCCTGCACACGGTTGTGGGGCAGCCCCATCTCCACCAGGCCAAGCCTGAGGCTTCCTGCGGCTGGAGCTGTGCACGTGGGCCTCGCTGGGTGGGGCGGTGCTAGCGGGGCGGGCGGGCAGGGAAAGAGAGCGACCTTCGGGGCAGAGAGAACTGCTTAGCAAAGGTAAGACACCAGGAGGAAAACGCATAAGACACGAGGTGAAAACGTGCACAACAGAGGACGAGGCCGACGGACGGGGAGGCTGGGGGGACACCAGGCAGCCTGGCCAACTCTGCCCGTTCCTCCGCTCTGCCCTAGGTCCCCACCCCTCCGAGGCACCTGCCCCCGCCACCCCGCCGCCGCCTCCGGTCCCCTGGGATGGAAGGAGCAGGGCTCAGGTTCGCCCCTCACAGCACAGAAACTCCGGGCCCCGGGCGGGGGTGGGCCTACTGGAGGGGCGAAGACGCTCACCTCGCCGCTGCAAGGTCGTGAGGAGCTCCCCCTGGTAGTTGTGTTTGCACACCGTGTCCAGCTCCGCCCGGGTCCTCTCCAGGATGTCCCTCTGGCTGTTGAAGTACTCCGCATGAGGCCGCCCCAGCGGCGTCACCGCCCGATACTCCCCCACGTCGCTGTCGAAGCTCATGAACTCCTCTCGGTTATAGACGTATTTGGTCACATGACGCACGCGCTCCGTCCCGTTGGTGAAGTAGCAGAGACCCTTAAACTGGACCACGAAATCCTCTGCGGGAAATCACCTGCGGGTCAGTCAGGCCGCAGCCCCGCCGCCCCCGCAGCCGCCGCCCTGACCCGGCCCGGAGCTCCGGAACCGCCCGCGCGACCTCCAGTCCCCGCTGGCCCGTGCCTCGTGTTCCAGATCTCGGATCCTCCCTCCCTGCGGCTCTGCCCAGCCCCGCGCGCCCTCTCGGGGGTCTTCCGGAGTCCACCTTCCTACAGGCAGGAAAGCGAGGAAAGCCTGTCCCTGCCTGAGCTGTGAACTGAGCAAAGAGGCAGTCGGGCTGATTTTACATGGACCTCTGCACTTAGAGGGATCAGGGCGTTCTCGTATGAAATCCCATTTTCCATGGAGCTCCTGGGAAGCTTAGAGATAAAATTATCCACATAAACCTGAGAATTTAAAAAAATGACGAGACAGGTCCAGGAATTAAGCCTGGTCTTCGTTCTGATA